TCCCAACAGGCAAGTGGTCACCTCCACTGCGACTCCCTCCTTACAGTCTACCCTCTCTTGTTACCGAACTTTCCTTCATATGGCGCGCCGAGTGGGGGGAGGGCCAACTCAACCATACAGTCTTCTTTGCTGCGCCTGCTGGGGCGTATCAAGAGTTGGCGCGACGCCAGCCTGTTCTTTACCACTTGCATCGTCTACCACCCTCCACAGTTGGCGGAGAACAGACTGGCGCCGCATCAAAACCCATAAAGCCAGTTCCCTCGCCCCTAAACCACCCAGCGTCCGCGGCGAACAAAAATGTCTAGTATAGTTTGCTGCGGACGGTTGGGCGTGTCAGGCGGGATGGGTTTGGCGCGGTGCAAAACCCGTTCTCCGCCAGTTGTTAAAGCGAGGCAAACGATAGTGACTGTTCATATGCTTGTATTACTCGTTTTCTACCGCTGCTTCTCAGCCATGCTGCTGCTTCAACAAGAAGGCAAAGACGGACGCTTTTAACGGAGTTGACAACATCATACTGGCCTGCCACGCCCCAACCCTCGGCAGCGAACTAGACGTGTATCAATAGTGCTATGTTGACTTGTGAAAAAAGTCAATAGTAGAAAAAGTTCCCCGGCCATAATACAATCGCCTCCCCTTTAGCGACGGAACACCCCCCCCTCATAAGAAGCTCCCCGTTTCCCATCTGCATCTGCAATCGCGCTGCAAGGCATGTCAACACCTGCCCCGTCTATTCCGAGAATAGCTCATTTTTCGGTGACTGGGACAAGCCTCGCTAGCGCCGATGAGGCAATCTGATTCAAGCACCTTTTGTCGTCATTTGTGATTAAGCGCCCGTTTGTTTTCAGACTTTCTCTTTACAGATCGTCCTATCTTCCTCGAAAATGGGCCACGCCTTAGCGGCCATAGACGAGAACATGGGAGCTGGGGACGCCCTGTTCTGGAAAATTTTGGGCAGCAGTACCACCCCCCCCCCTCGCGAATTCGCCTCTTCCGATCTACTAAAACTACCATATTAGTATTCTCCAGCTTCTCTCTTCTTGCAACCTCGGCATGTTAGTAGTGAGTGTTTCAATATTCTTGTGCCTTACGAGGTTGGTTAGGTGGAACGTTTATTAATAATGGCCTAACGTTTCGACTTAATCGTCGTCTTCAGAGGCCAGTGGTTCCACCGTTTGAGCGGATAGGTCCGCGGCCACACTAGAGCGCTGTCAATAGAAAACAATAAACTTTTTTTTCTATTGAGCAGCGCTCTAGTGTGTGCCGCGGACCTATCCGCTCAAACGGTGGAACCACTGGCCTCTGAAGACGACGATTAAGTCGAAACGTTAGGCCATTATTAATAAACGTTCCACCTAACCAACCTCGTAAGGCACAAGAATATTGAAACACTCATATTAGTTTTTTATGCTAAACGTCCTACGCTTTTCCTCCAAAATTTTATAATTTTTTCTCTGAGCTATATGGGATTTTTTATTATGGAGGTGGCTTTTCTTTTTATAGAGGAGCTCTCTGTTGCTAACAATGTTGGGAGATTATGCTTTAGCACCTCTGTGTCGCTCTCTGAACCGAGGGCCGAGACACTGTCTCGCAGAAGAGGTTTATTCTCTACTAAACCTAGGCCTTGGTTCTGAGCGCGTTCATTCTCCACGACCCAACTGCGCGATTCGAAGTATGAACGCAGTCTCAGAAAAGGGACAAGGAGGTGCTGAAGAGTGGGCTTCCCAACTGCATTAGCTCTCTTACTGGGATAATGGACTGGTCAGTGATTGTGATTTCACCGGGCAGTATCACTTCCTAACGCTTTTTCTCAAACTAAACTGAAAGTTATATGCGGCTCCCCTTGAGGCATTATGGTATTTGGAGACTACGCTGTCATAGAAACCAGAGCGATTTTTGCACTTGCTGAACCTTCATTTTTTCACTTTACTACCTCCTAATGGGTTTGTATTCAGCGGTACTTGCTACTCGAACACCACCGATTCGTTATCCACGAATAGGACTAACTGTTCGCTTTTGCAGCACTGGTGCGATGTTTTTTTTCTTCGGATACCTTTCTTATCATTTTGTGACGTCACATCAATTTTCCTGTTGGATATACCATCATTGTTTCATTGTCGGTCTCGTGAAATGGCGGCTGTTCCAGAAGTGTCCCCTATTCCAACTCCAACACTCCAGACCAAAATGGACGTCTGTCCAGCACCCATCAAGGAGAAATATGAGCGACTACCGCTGTTTGCTGTGCCTGAACATTATGACATAAAGATCGTTCCCGATATGAAGACGTACGTCTTTTTTCTGTATTTTCTGAAAGATTTAGATATAGTGATGTTGAACCGAGTATTGACTTCAGGCACAGACGTAGCGTAGATGGCTTGCCTATAAGCCTGCGTTCATACTTTAGCGTCCACTAGCGTGCGACAGCGTATCTGGTGAACGCCAGCGACTAGGAAAGTATAGATATCGATCTAGCGGAGGCCAGCGTTCATCAGCGTCTCCATGGACTAGGAAAGTATAGATATCGATCTAGCGAACGCCATCGTCCACCAGTGTCTCGATGGACTAGGGAAGTGTGGCTATCTATGTGCCCGCGAACACGCTGCTGTACGCTGGTTGGCACTGATAGACGCTGGCGCTCGCTGGATCGTTACCTATACTTTCCCGGTGGTGTTCGCTCGAAACGCTGCCGTACGCTAGTGGACGCTGGTGAACGCTGTTGAAAAGTATGAACGAAGCCTAGATCCACACTCATACTTTGCGACCGAGGAGATTCGGCGATCTGGGAGATCGAGTGATCCGGCGTTCTAGGAGACTGCTGAGTCTCGCGAATCGTCGGGTCGCTCAATCTCCCGAATCGCCGAAATTTCGCCATCTCTGGCGACCGGCGCGATCGATACCCATTCACTCCGTCGGCGCGAAATCGCCGGAAACGCCGGGTCTTCCAATGACGGATCGCTCAGTCTTGGCATGGCCATATCACCACCTATACTTCCCTCGTCGCGCATTCTGTCATATCGTGAGTCTCCCAAATCGCGGAGTCTCTCCAGTCGCAAAGTATGAACGCTACCTAAGAGTTGAGGAGGTGTGGTGTAATCGACGTGTTAATGAGAACATCTGCACACATCAACACATTGCGGACCGCCACACTGCGCGCACCTCCGGGTCATTTCATCATTTTTCATTAGTGGTTCATCAGTAATTTCTTATGAAGACTTGTCCACCGTAACGAGAACATGTTTTGACCACATTTATACGTGAAAGGCGAGCAAGTTAATCAGTTAAAACATCGTACAGAGACAAATGCATGACACACCATGTGTGTCACGCGGTCCGGAACGTGTTAACATGTTATGTGACACTCGTCATGATCTACCTCTTGACCGGCGAAGTGCCGGACCGCACACCTGCGTACGTCAGCGCTTGCTTTAATTCCCTGACTTTAAGTTCTTCCCAGCCAGTTGATCTTTGGCATGTCCGGGGTCAAGGTAAACAGTGATAAGTGAACTGCTGATGTTATGATGCGCCAGCATGGTGCAAAGCAAACAGAGTTCGCAGGGGTGCTGGCCGATTAACATCGGATAGGGTCACTATGTTGTCCCGCGGCGGTAGAGGCGCTAAGGCGCTATCACAATTCGTGGTAGCAATGGACCAGGGAAACTCGTCCTCAGCGTGTTACCAAGGGTTCGAACGCTCATGTCCAGATGAATTCCGAACACGTAAGGTATGTTATCGTCCAGCGATAACGTCCCTGTGACTGCGACAGCGCTGGCCTCAGCCCAACAAAGTTTCGTAATTCACTACATGACGTGCTAAGGCACTTTTGAATGCGTCATTAACATGGAAGGGCGAATAGGATGAATCCTTTTATTGCGAAACTCCTTATGCATGAAGGCATTGAGCGCAGTTCGGCGACGAGGGGGGGGGGCACTCTGCATCTTCGCTGTTTCCCCTTGTCGTGTGGAGCCATCAAGTATAGATCTGTGGAAATCTTGTGAAGTGATGAAGTGATACCAGTCAAAGGAAGGCAACTTGTCAACCTTGCAAAGAATACCTGTCATTTTTTGAAAATCAATGCATGATAATGGGAAGTAGCAAAAGTGCAAAATGCACCTTCCTCCCTTCTGTCGCCCAACTGCGCCAGGAATGGATTCACCCACACAAGACTTCCTCCCTTAGACTCGGTCGAAAAGTCGAAAATTCCCCACATGAAACAAAGAAATGGGGTGGAGAAGGTCTACGTCGTAAGGCGCCATCTTGTTCCAGAGACGTGTCATGGAGCGTGATGGAACCAGGGTACAGCAGCGTGATGCGTGAAACGACGGGGTCAATAGTATCCCTCCCAAAATTCTTCATCTGGTTCAACCACGACTCCCTTCTCTATCCTGCCTGCCGTACTCCCGAGTAGTCCCATCTTCCAGCTTCTGCCACTTTTCCAAGTTTTCCGGGAGATTTCCAATTTTTCTCCAAAAATTGGCGTCGCTTCTGTGTCGACATGTCACCTCCCCCCCCCTCTCCCCTACCCTAGACTTTCCTCACCTGGTCCGATCCCTCTTCCTTCCCTATCCTCTTGTTTCATTGGTTTATAAGAAATAGTGGTTATATGGATGTTCTGCGCGCCGTCAACTTGGGAGGAGGGGGTTGGGAGGGTAGTTATTGAAAACATGAGAGGAGAAAACCGAGGAAAGCCGAAGACCTGAAGAAGTTTTCTGGCGGCTCGACAAAATTTTTCTGGAAAGCAGATACACCCCCTCCCAGCGACCAAATGCGACCCTCCTCCGCCCGCACTCCCGGCAATGATGTACCGTGCATGCAACATTGTGGGACACGTAACCGTAATCTTTTGAACTACACGGGAGTTGCTCCAAAGTACACAGTAATTAAAAATCTTAGAGCATTCCTTTGCAGGCGAAATCTATTGGAAATATTTTTTCAGCTTTCAATTTACTGGAACGGTAGCGTTGACAATTCGCATAGTGGAGCCGACAGATGTCTTGAAAATTCATATGGTCTCCATCAAGCTGGATTCGGTGAAGTTGACCTTGGATGATGATAGAGGTACGCAAAAGGGTTCTGGCGCTGTTTGGCTAAAGAGGGGCGTTCTGCTTTTTCACCAGTTCCTTTTGCTAGCTCATGTCAACTAAAAGGTGTCACTTGCTGAAACCTACAAACTCTTGTAAAGCTGCGGAATGGTGCAAGTAAGACACTTCGGTCACATGAATTTACAGGTCTCCACAAGATAAACTGTAGGCTTCCATGCGCTGCCCCCACAAGCCAAACTGCACCATTTTTTGTTTTTTTTCTGATAGACGATGTAGTTTGTCTACGTTCATGTTCAGCGCTTGAGCGTGGACCTGGTTATCACGAGCCATAGCTCTGATATTTACAACAGCTTTCTTTCAGTTTTGAAGGATTTGAGTCACACTTATGATCCCAAATTCAACATAGCTACTATCGACTTGGGTAATATGGTTCATCCTCAGACGGTAAGTTTCACAACCATATCTTTTCTTTTGGTTCACATTTCCGTTCTCTGGTGCTATCGATTGTAAATGATGTCGCATTGCAGGTGACCCTGTCACTCGATTATACAGGTGAAATCAATGACAAGATGCGCGGTTTCTATAGAAGTACGTACAAAGGCGAAAATGATGAGGAGAAGTTCCTTGCGTCTACTCAGTTTGAGGTGGGCCCTAATATTTTCTAATGTTAGATTGACTTTTCTGTATATTGTGCATGCAGGGCACGTCTTGCCGTTGCAAGATACGACCCCCACACCAAAATTTCCTCCCCTGCCAACGCCCTTCCCCGATCTCCCATCTTTTTCCACATTTTTCCAACTTCGTTTTCCTCGGTTTTCCAAAACTTTTCATTTCCCCCTCCGCCCCCCCCTGAAAAGCTGCCGTCGAGGGTTGTGAGTTGGCCGGGAAAAAAACGTAATCGTACCTGAAACAGGATACACCGAGAAAAGTCAGCAACGGAAAATGTTTTCGAAGGCAAATACGACCCCTCTCCCTCCAGCGACCAACTACGAGTCCCGTCGCTAGGATCACCATGGTGCGACGTACCCTAATGTACAACGCAGAAAAGGAACAAAAGAGAACGCGAAGGACACCATACTTGAAATACACATGAGGTTTTGGGCTAGTTTTCTACCGGTGAATATTCCGGTGGCCCCCCAGCACTTATTCAAAGACCTTGGGAGGTCCAAGGTATTACTCATACTGTGCCATCGCTGTACAGAAAGGGCTGAGTTGCCCATACTGGTGCCTCGCTTAGCAGAAAGAGCTGAGTGCCTTCTCTCTTATCACTAGCTTTATCACTGCTCATTAAAATGAAAAAGAATAAGTGAACTTTAATTTTGTATCCCTTCTTACGTCTCCTTTTTTAGTCCACGTACGCTCGGTACGCTTTTCCATGTTTCGATGAGCCCATATACAAGGCAACATTTGATATTTCTATAGTAACCGATCCAGGCCTGACTGCCATTTCTAATATGGTAAGATCCATGTTTTCTTTTTAGCGTTGAGCAAAACTGTAGCAAACCAGTGCCTTCTTCCTATATCTGAAATTTGTTTCAGCCTGTGGTTTCCTCCACCCCGTGCGATTTTCATGGAACAAAGAAAGTTTGGGTGAAATTCGATCGAACTCCTCCAATGTCATCGTATTTAGTGGCGTTCGTTGTAGGAGAACTTGATTATATCCAGGTGAAATCTAATGGTTTCTTTGGTTGAGCTTTTTTCCCAATACTTTGCTGCCTTCAGACTTCTTCAAAAAGCGGTACAACAATCATAAGAGTGTATACGGTACCTGGAAAGAGAAGTCAAGGCACATATTCTCTGGATTTGGCTGCAAAGTTGGTCATTTTGCTCTCGGTCCTTGCACTGCACAACTACTAGAATGATTCAGGGCAATCGATTGGTACAACGATTGGTTTGGAATAGACTATCCGCTACCGAAATGTGATCTCATTGCTATTCCTGACTTCAGCATGGGTTAGAAAATCTCGTTTTGGTTGCTTTGTACCTGGACGTAGAGCTAGTTGAGAAGGGGAGTGGTGGGGAGGTTGCACAGCTTCCTTCAAAGAGAAGGATGGTTCATGTACTCCATTCTCGGGAATCCGAAAGATGTTCCGTTCAATTTAAGGCAAGACCGGCAGACATGATATGGTGCAGCCGCGCCGCTGTGCAGCCCCCCACACCCCCTCTCCAACTAGCTTTGCACTGGGTGTGAGCACTTATTCAGCTGTTTTAGCGCTTGTCGTCGTCAACAAATCGCAGAGAGGTTTTCATTGTAGATATCTGATTATTTAGGGCTATCGAAGAACTGGGACTGGTGGACGTACGCGTGAAGTAAGCGCTCCTGATTGATCCAGGCCAAGTCATCAACGTTCGATTACAGGGACAAGTCACGTGTTGCTCTTGTCGTAGCCCACGAGCTTGCTCATTTCTGGTTTGGAAACCTTGTAACCATGGTAAGTACAAAGCCATCACGCTAATTTCGAGTCATATTGAAATTTTTAGATTTGCACACTTTTTACCCTTTGATGCCGCAGGATCGAAGTCCGGGCTAGATTTTGGTCAGGGTTCTTCCCAAGGTCTAGATTCAGCTGATGAACAGGTGCTTTATGACCCCAATATCGCATGTGCGGGTCTTACGCCCGGAATTTGCCAGTTATTAGGTTGTCCGAAAAGTTCTCAGCGTTTTGTGCACCTATTTTTTGTACATTCACTGCTGATTAAAAACTCATTCTGCCTTGCTTCTCAGTAGCACATCCTGTAGAGAATTTCTTGCGCTATCTGATGGTATAATTGCCGTTTCACCATTGCTTGATAAACCCCTTTTTTCAAGATTTTTTTCAAGCATGTGAAAAGAGCACTTCGGACGATTTTTTCTTCGACTATAAATTGGGGCAATCCGCAATCGAAACAACTCAACAAATTAACCAGGTGTGGGGGCCCAATAGTGCTAGAGAAAGCACTGTGCGGCAATGGCTCAACAAATTTCGTTCTGGAGATTTCAGCCTTGAAGATGAACCTCATAGCGGTCGACCTAAAGCAATATCTGACGAGGATTTTAGGGGGATTTTGGAGGCTGACCCATCCCAAACAGTTCGAGATAGCAGAAGAGCTAGGCCTTGGCAAATCCACTGTTGCAGATGGTCTGGAACGCATTGGGAAGGTGAAAAAACTCGACAATTGGGTGCCCCACAATCGGAGTGACCGGCAGGAATCGGCACGTCTCGAGGTTCCTTCTGCATTGCTTTTGCGCAGCAGAAACGACCTGTTTTTGGGCCGAATTGTCACCTGTGATGAAAAATGGGTCATGTATGATAACAGGAGACGTTCCGGACAGTGGTTGGATTTGGAGGAACCACCGAGGTAATTTTCAAAGCCGAACCCTCGCGAAAAAAAATTCTGGTCAGGTTTGGTGGTCATCGGCTGTTGTAATCCACTATAACTTTTCATCACCAGGCCAAACCATCACAGCAGAACCCTACTGTGAACAAACCGACCAAATGTACCGAAAATATTGTCAGCTGCAGCCAACACTTATCAAAAGAAAGGGTCCGATTCTTTTGCATGACAACGCAGAAGTATGTCACCGCCCACGACGTTTTAAACAAATCACTATCCATAAATTGAACGAATTGGGGGTTGAAGTTCTACCTCAACCGCCATATTCTTCAGACCTTTCGCCAATCGACTATCACCTTTTCTAACATTTTCAGAACTCCCTTGCTGGAAAATACTTCATCAATCAGGACCAGGCAAAAAGCCTTAGTGGATTTCGTGAATTTTCGACCACCCAGTTTTTACTTTGATGGGATTTCTCGACTGCTGTCACATTGGCAAAAGTGTGCTGATTCGAATGGTGCCTATTTCGATTAAATCCGATGAGTATTAAAAAAGTTACGATCGTTTAAAGTGAAACACCCAAAACGCTGAGAACTTTCCGGACAACCCCCTAATAAAAGCATTATCTGCCCCGGCTAGACTATCCCAGAACTGTCATGAAATCTATCTGAATCTCAGTCGATATCTTCGGTTGTAATGGAACGATAGTGCCGATTTTTGAGTAATTTCTGAGTTTTGATCTTTCAGAAATGGTGGACCGATCTTTGGCTAAAGGAGGGATTTGCGTCATTCATGGAATATCTGTTTGTCGGTTATAACTGCCCGGAATTCAAGATCTGGGAGCATTTTGTCAACGACGAACTGGCTCAAGGCTTCAATCTTGATTGCCGCTGCCGTAACACGCCACCCATAGAGGTTACATCTACTTTGTTTTGCAATATCTCAATGCCAACACTGGCACATTTTTCCTTGTAAAAGTGCGATTTAGGTTGAAATAGATAATCCTTGTGAACTGGAAGAGATCTACGACAACATCACTTATGCGAAATCGAATGCTATTAATCGCATGTTGTTCTACTACCTTGGCGAGCCAACTTTCCAAGCTGGTCTACGTCTTTACTTGAAGAAATTCCAGTATGAAAATGCGATCACTCTCGATCTTTGGGAGGCGTTAGGCGAAGCTTCTCAACAGGTCTGTAATTGTTCAGTCAGGTTTCTGGCGCAGATGTGGAATGGGGGCTGTTATCTGTTAGGAATTACAAAGTGACGTATCACGAAACACGTCATTGACTCTTCGTGTGACGTCAGTGGCACGTCATCAACCTTCTCACAGGAACGTACTGCACCCGTTACCTGTACCGTGCTGAACCAGGACCGAAACTTTTTTTTCATTTTTTTTCTGTGTTCCAGTGACAAATGTTTCCAGGATGTTGTTAAACTTATGTCTGGCTGGACAAAACAGATGGGATATCCGGTGATTACGGTCACTGACAAGCAGCAGGGAAATAAGAGAGTTCTATCTCTTTCTCAAAAAAGGTTCATTGGTGATGGTGGTGAAGATCCCACAAACTCCCTCTGGCAAGTGAGTGAAGAGCTTTTTCGAAAGTTAGCTGTGATTTCAGATCTCCCCACTTTCTTCCATTCAAAAAAACCTGTGAACTAGTCACAAGACTGTTTTTTAGGTACCAGTGACTGTATGTGTGGGATCGAATCCGTCTGAAGTGAAAGGAAAGTTCCTTCTGGTAGAACGTGAACAAGAAATCGAAGTGCCGGACGTGAAGGAAGGAGAATGGGTCAAGGTGAAGACTTCATTTTTTGGTATATGATTTGTAAGTTTAGCCTAAAGCGCTGAACATATCATTGATAGAATGCGCGTAGGACTTTTGTGGAGCCCGGTAGCTGCAACTGGAGGCTATAATTTTCGAGCGCTTGTAAATGTTGGTACTAGTACAAGTTAAGAGAAATATGCGTGAAGTAAGAAACTTTGCGGTGAGGGGCTTAGGGGCGATTAAGGGTCGTCACAACGCCACATAACGAGCGTCAGCGCCCCAGTCAGGACATACGACGCTCCAATCTCTAGAGTCATTAATTTGTTGTCAAACCTTAAATGTTTAGAGAGAGGAAGAGAAGAGAGATCAACTATTGAGCATAGATCTCGTCAAAGCATTGAGGAAAATTAGTCGAGCGTGACCCCCTTCAAAGTTCCACGCCTTTTACAGTCTGGCTTACTGCGTATTGGGAGGCATGTCGGGGGAGGCGGAATCGGCACGGCAAGATAAGTTCTCTACCAATTGTTGAAGCAGGCAAGCGCGCTGGGTGGAGAACGTTCTGGCGCCTCGCTAAACCCGCCCCCCTCTGACAGCGTCCCTTGCATTTGCAGACGACCAGGCTGTGCCTTCACTTGCCCCACCAAAAAAAAACTGTTCGTTGAGCCAAAGCTTGAATAGACTCCTCCCAACAAGCCAACATTTTTTTATGTATATGGCAATTTCCAGTACACTACCTCCTTTTGGAAAGCTTCTCAAAACGCGCTGTCTGCTTGGAGTACACTCCTAATCCGTAAAGATTGCACGCGACAGCATCGCATCTCCGCACTCTATAAGGGCGAATCAAATCGGTAACCTTTGGTTTCCAACCCAAAAATCTCTTCTCAGTTTTCTGTTACAGTTGAATGCCGGTTCAACTGGCTTTTATCGAGTGGACCATAGCCAAGAGATGCTGAAGGCTATGATTCCTGATATCGCCAACGCATTTGACCGCTTTTCTATCGTCAATGACTTGTTTGCTCCTGGTAAGTTTACCCAGCTAAGTTTACCCAGTTTTGCGGTGTTAGCTTGAACTCGTTTTTGGACTTTGGCATACTTTTCAGGTCCAATCTGGACGCACTCGAGCGTCGTCTTTCCTTTCAGTTTTGGCAGCTTTGCCCAACGAAGGAAGAGTACATTGTCTGGCAGTCATTGTCTGGTGGAATTGATGATATCTCAAATGTGTTGCATTACGCGCCAAATGCTACACTTAGTAAACGGTAGCCATTCTATAAAGGGCCTCCCTTACCTGTGCACGTATAAATTTCCCCTTAGGTTCGACTCATTTGTTATAAGAACAATGGAGAAACTTGGAGAAAAACTTGGTTGGGACTGTCATGAAGGCGAAGGTAATTGAAAGGTTTCTTATACTTAAACCTTCTCCTAGAATGATGTTAATGACAGACATAAATCAGATGAGCGGGGACTTATAAATACTACCTTCCTCATTGACGCGTTCCTCCCTTCAAGGCAGTAGTGAGGGACGCAACCAGTGAGAAAGGCATAGCTATATGTGAGTTCCCGCCCACATGACTTTGACGTGTAGTTTCCAACAAGACTGCATTCTGTTAGTATCTGGGGTCTTATTTTGCTGGCTTTACTATGGATTTGAAAACAAAGGCTGCGCTCATTCCGTGCGACGTCGTCGTCAAAGTCGACGTAACCGACGTTTTCGACGACTACTTCACGAAGATTAGATACCTATCGATCCGACGAAACTTGCAAAACCGACATTTTCGACGTCTTCCGATACGTATCTAATCTTCTATCGTCAGTTACGTCGTCAACACGTGGATCGATACGTATCTAGTCTCTAGTCGTCAAAAACGTCGGTTTCGTCGGTTAGACGTCAACATGACGAGCGACGTCCACGGCATGAACGGCAGCCTGAACTGAACTGAAAAACATAGCTAGTCTCAGGTTGGTATTTTTGGAGGGGTTTTCGTTGATGAAAGGGGAATTTCAGATTCCCAGCGTGGGATTCTTCGAGCTGTTGTTCATGGTCGCTTGATGAGGGCTGGACACGACAGTACCATCAAGAAAGCTTCCACGCTTTTCGCTGACCATGCCACTTCAAAACGACCCCTACATCCCGATCTCCGCCTATGCGTACGTGTTTCCTTGTTCCGTTTCTATTTTCGGTAGAGGTCGTGACTGAGTCTTGAATGAAGTGATTGTCTTCCATTACTCGCTTTTAGGCTCCAGTATGACTTTGGTTTCAGATATTCACCACCGCAGTTCGTTATGGTGGTGAAACGGCTTTCGATCAACTGCTGAAGATTTATGAGTCTGCGGGATTCCCTGAAGTTGAACGAAATTGCATCACAGCACTTTCACAAACACAAGATCCAAAGCTTCTTCAAAGACTCTTCAAGTACGCCATACATGACGTAAGTTTGTCATGTTTTTTTTATACTTTTAGTTGCTTCGATTCGGAAGCAGTTTTCGTCAAAACTTACGTCGGAATTCGAAGTTATACCTACCAGTGAACTGGTTCGCAAAAACCATTTTTCATGTGGTCTTCCTCAGAGGTTCTTCCGCTTTCGCGGCTAGTGGGTGGTGAGGGTGCTGCGACCGTCATTGACCAAAGGAACGCCACCCATAGAAGTTGTCCCACCCCATCTTGGCCAAGATAGAAGCTCAAGGATAATGTCATACTGAATAGCCACAGGGATTCGCTAGTACTAGCTAGCTTTTTAAACTCGAACGGGCTGCTTTCTAGAGACATCCTTTCAATCTGATTTTTAGGGTAAAGCTCGTGCACAAGATCACATGCTCCTTTTCTATGGTGCAAGCTCTAGTAGGATAGGTCAAGAATTCCTCTGGAACTACTTCAAGGAGAACATGGCTTATCTCGTGGAAAAGTTTGGTGGTGTAGGGTCCGGCCTGTTCCAGGTATTTTTGTAAGGGATTATGTTTAAGGAAGGTGTTCTTACAGCGAAAGTTTCTCTTGATGCGCTCGTTGCTCCGTTTCAGAGGTGCATGAAACTAGCCATAGAGCGGCAGTGTACAGAGGAGTTTGCTCAGGAGGTGGAGAAATTCCTTTGTCATGGCCTTTCTCCGCAAGACTTCCTGACGCTGGAACGTCCGATAAAACAGGTAAAAAGTGCCTTCGAAAGGAGGCTTTTTTAATCGGAATTTCGCTTTTGATATGTCGATATAATTCATTCGTATTATAGGCTACGGAAGCCGTCCGTCTGAACAATAAATTGCTGCAATCGAATATGGAGGACATTGACCAGTTCCTCAAAAATGAGGGATTATAGAGCAAAACTTTTCACCAGAGTTATTTAACATTTCCGCTGCCTTTCCTGCATGATACTGTACTTTTGTGTCATTATGGGTATTGTATTTCTTCGCTTCTATTCTAATTTGATAAATTCTTGGCAAGAATGGGAAGTTTAGCACACATTCCTTGTTCATAAGAGTGTGTTTTCACTTAGAGCGCTCCTTTGAGATTGTGGGGGATAGTTGCACATGGGGGAGACGGAGCCGAAAAGAATCGTTAACTGGCCGGGACCTTACGTCGCGCGCGGCAATGGCCAGCGACGATTTTTCCTGCTAAGATTTTTACGCGAGCTTCTATTGGAGCAAATGCGGAGTTTCATGTGAGGACAGGACATGGTAGACATTTGTATCTATTTTTTCGGGAATACAATTGCACACAAGAAATCTCTAGACGCAGCTACCGGCTAAAAATCCATCATCACCAGGGCTGCGACAAGCGAACAAGAGGCCGGAGTGCCACAAGCTAAGCGGCGGCGCACTAATCCCCCCTTTTTGACATGCAGCAAGTTAGGACTCCTCTGCACAACACGGATCCCAATTTCACGAGCGATCCAACTAGCATCATACAATATATATATATATAAGCCACGGAGATGAAGCCGAGGTATTGGTACAGACGCTTAGCATCTCGAAACAGAAAAAGACTAAAAAGTTATCTCACATTAGTGGGTCTATATATCTCTATGAAATATATACATGGAGTTTCCCAATGATTGCCGACCCCCCCCCGCGATTCGCCGCTTGCAGAAGTTCTGGCAATAGCGCCAGCATGTGCGATCCCACCTGATGTGGATTTCACAAGGCGGTGGGTCTCACAATTGTCGTAAAGCCTTTCCCAAGATTCTTTCTCCTGCGAGTAGATCTAACTGAGGAAACGTCGAAGCGCACAGGTCGATGTTATGGATGCGGGAAGTTCTACCTTTCTCATGAGAGGCGTGAAGAAGAGTCGAAGTACTTAAGCTGTTTCTGGGTCCGAAGAACCTGTTTCTTTGTTCGAGCTTAACCGCTGGACGAGTCATTGATGTGATCGTTATGGCAGGTACCCCAGCTAGTACCGGCTGTGTCCTGAGTGGAATTCCGGCACATTCGCGGCGAGCCAGCCCGTTCTGCCTTCAGTTGTTGGAGGCACAGGACGAAGCGACAACGAGCTGAACGCACGCGCCTAAATCCTAAGGGCATTTCATTAGTGGGAGATTTCTTGATGCGCCTCCATACGACGTCGCCCCTAAAAAGGCTTCATAGCGGCCTGCCTCCTCCCCCGCCCACAATCCTAAGTTCCTTCTTCTGGCTACGCATCGAGGCTGACGAGGAGTGGCCGGGGGGGGGTAAGCAACACATAGTACAGAGCACGAAAAACCGCGTGAAGCAGGTCTAAACAGGAAAGGTTTTTTCCCAACACGGAGGCGAGTAACGACGGCCTCAATCGTAGTGTCCCGTAGCTTAAAGCAAAAAATCAACAAAAAAATCAACTATCAAAAAAATTTTTTCGGACCAAATACGACCACCCCCCTCTAGCGACCAAATGCGACCCCGTCCCTGCTGGGAATCTCCAGCGAAGATGTATCCAGACTAAATCCAGCCCTCCCCCTGAGCCTCACACGCACCAGCATCCGCAGCGTACAAGACGTTAGCAAATCGTGTCGCTGCTCTTCTGAAGGCTCGATCGAAATTCTGTCATGAAAATCGGTGAGTCCAGAAGCTGAAAAGTATTACTCAACAGAGAGCTGTGGGCTCAAACAGAGGCCATCATATAGGTGAGTTGATGTACTGGACAGAAGTGCGGAAGCAAGAGATTTTTGCCTGGTCCAGGACATTCCTTCTCGCTTTTCTATCGCATAATAGCTCAGGCTTGTCCCTCAGACACCATCGAACGAGTAGGACTTATTGCGCGCCGATACTGTTTGTTTTCTTTCGGAAGATTTTCTTATCATTTTGTTGTGTTACTCCAATGTTCTGATGGATACACCTTCATTGTTTCATTGTCAATCTGCTGAGATGGCGGCTACTCCAGAAACATCCACTGCTCCAAAGCCTCCAACGTTCAAGTCTAAAGTGGACGTCTGTCCAGCACCCGTCAAGGAAAAGTATGAACGACTACCAATGTTCGCCGTACCTGAACATTATGACATAAAGATTATACCCGATATGAAAACGTAAGTCCATCCATCAGTGGTTTCACCATTTCCCAGATTGATTTTGGGACCATTGTCGCGCTCTGATTCCCTCTCCTCAAGTTTTTCCAGTCAACTGATCTTTGGCATGCGCGGAGTCGAGCTAAACAGTGGCAAGTAACAGTACTTGAATATTGCAGCTGCTATAGAAGTTTGTGATAAGAGTGGTCGTTACCACTCAGATCAAAGGGGCATGTCAGCGTCCTGTGGGTTTTGGCACAGCGCCAGCCCGTTTCCCGTTGGCCTTCGCAACATGAGGCGTTCGATAAACGACGAGAAAGGGACTGGTGCCGCTGACACGCTCCCCCGCCCCCTCACTGACCTTAGTTATAACCATTGGATGACCACTGTGCTTGTGTCTGTGGTGTGCATTGCTGACCACAAAACTGCGACGAGCACCGAACACAGAGTTGGTAGGTTGAGCGTACTTCACGGCATATGTTCAGGTACGTAGAATGTTCCGCAAACATAATTACGGGGCGCATTAGGCAGCTTATCAAGCCTACACTTTCGTTTTCTGCTCGTCTGCACTCTTCAGCCAAGGTTGTGCCTGGGAAATTATGATTGGACGGAGAGGACTCTGATCAACGGGAGACGGGCAAGAGAATCGTAATTTGCCGTTCCGTCGCGCGCGGCGACTTTATTTCTTTTTTCACTTCTTTCTTTAACTCGTGTTAACCTGTCGATTGGAGCACCGGACTTCATGTAGACCCCGTCATCGTAGACATTCATGACTATTTTCGGTTCTGAATTGCCTGTTGTCGCCATCTACTACCTGGAACCATCGTCATTTGCGGGCGCGACGTCGCACGCGACGCCCACCAGCGCGGTGAATTACGATTCTCTTGTCACATACCCCTGATCAACCAGCGCATGCCGTGGGAATGCTCAGTTGAGGTATGTGGCAAGACAATCGTAATAGGCCGCGCTGGTGCGCATGGTGGGCAGGGAAAGTCGTATGCGCTAACGGACGAGTTTTCCTACCCGGTTGCTCGATGTAGAGTTGAAGGGATGGGGAACTCTGTTATCGCTCCTGAGGGGGTCTTCTACATGCTCGAAATCAAATGAGTTTAGCTGCTTCAACTGACGAACTAACACAGATCGAGATTTTGCCGCGCATCGCACCACGTATGCCGCGCCCGACGACGCGACACGTTGCGATTGTCTTGTCCATTTCCCCCTCAATGGAGGGTGTCAAGAGCTCAAAAAGACGACATATTCACTATGGAATCCATAATATGTTCCCAGACTAGCTGACAAATCGTTCGCAAGAGAGCCTGCCTATGGAAACCATACTCTCCTTCTTACCATTAGACCTGTGGATCAAGCTGGTTTTAGCTTTACATTTAATGGAACTGTAGCTCTGACGATTCGCATATTGGAGCCAACAAACATCTTGAAACTCCATATGGTCTCCATCAAGCTAAGTTCGGTGAAGTTGACCTTAGATGGTGATATAGGTAT